CAGATGAAGAAATGGAGGGGGCTAAAACATTAAATTATGGGTAGGAGCCAGACAAAAACAGGATCTAGGACCAAACATCTAGTATATAAAAAATACTGATAAATATTTTAAGATCAAATAGGGAACTGTTCTCTATCCAGTGTCAAAAACCATCATGACCACTCTACACCCTTATTTGTTACTCAACAGATAGTACTGGGAGCCTGCACAGAACCAGGTGTTGTGATATGCTCTGGGGGTGCCAAGTTGACCCCAACAGGGTCCCTACCCTGAAGGCATCACAGTCTGATGAGGGAGATACAGCTAAACCAAGTGAGACAAAATAAAACCAAAGCAGTGTTCTGGACTTTCTGGGCCATGGGCAGAAGGAAGGAGGGAGGCCATGTAGGAGAAGCTGCCAGTGATTCACAGCAGCTGGAAGGCAAGGAAAGCTGGAGGAAGGGTTTAGGGAAGAAGCTGAAAATTATGTCATCCATATAATGACTGAAAACATTGCAGTGAATGAAATAAAACTAGGTCCCTCACTCTTATAGCTTATATGGAGGTATTTTGTCCTCCTCTGCCTTGTCATTGTAGCCTTAGAAATGCAAGAACGTAAGAGGCATTGCACAGTACTCAGCTGGAGTCTACATCTGGAGTAGCTGGGGTATCACCTTTACACACTCCTAAATGAAATGTAGGAGGGGTGGGTGGAGGTGGAACTTGAATCTCTGACCGCTGCTCTCCCACATCCAGGGCTCCTCCCCCAAAGCTGTGGCAGACCCTGTCAGTTCAGCTGCTCAGCAGCTATTCCCAGGCCCTCAGCAGCCAGGGATGGCCACATGACGCCACCCTGGTCTGATGGACAAAGGGAAAGTGGCGAACAAGAAGAGTCTCTGCCGTCACCGCTCTCCCTTTTTTCCTGACTCTGAGCATTGTGAGTAGGGTGTGGCATTAGGCTCTGGGACAGCCATCCTGTGCATCCCTGGGGAGGCCTGAGGCAAGTCCATTTCCTCGTCTTTTTAGCCCCTATGGGTTGCTCACAGACCTTGGCTCACGGGCCCCTTCATCTCCAATGCCCCCTACCAGCTCTGTCCCTCTCAATGCCGGCTCTCAGGCTGGGAAGGCTTCTCCACTTCTAGGGACTCACGATTAGATTGAGTTCATCTGGACAATCCAAAATAATCTTCTCATGTCAAGGTCCTTAACTTTAATCACATTTGCAAAGTCTCTTTTGCCATGTGAGGTCAATATTTGCTGGACCCAGGGTTTAGGACATGGACCTGCTACAGAAGAGTAGGAGTCTGAATCCTTGATGTTGAGGGGAAAACTCATCCTGTTTTCTTCCACCACTGCTGGACACCTTTTTAAATAAACCACTGATATTATAGATAAATCTGCTGTTAACCTGTTATTCAAAGCTGAAAGCATTTCTGATGCAGGAGCTATTCGCCTGAAGAACAAAGCCCCGGGAGCCCAATTCTCGCAGCCTGTGACTCAGCTGGGAGAAGGGGAGGCAGGGCAAAGGATGAGAGCTGAAAAGAGAAGTGCGAGTGTGGCTGTGGTGCCAGTGAGGCGGGCAGGTGAGAGGGCCATCGGGTATTCCTGTGGTCCATGCAGCCCCTCCAGATAGTCAAGAAATGCAACTTAGTTATTCTGAGATCACGTTTTGATAGCCAGGCTAGGGTTAGCAGCAACAGCAGCACTGCAGCTGCCCTCTACAAAAATCAGAGGGGGATGAAATCCTCTGTGGGAGATGGTGGCATTTGGAAAACAGATGTCTCCCTTCCCTGACTTCCCTCGAGAAAGGGGAGATTGGATTTATTGCCTTGGCTGAAACCTCTGAGGGTGACTTTAAGAGCAACACTGATACAATTTCCATGGGGACTACTGAGAGCTCAGAGTGGTGTGGCTGGCAGCACCGTCTACCACAGGAGGAGGAAGACGCTCTGCTAGTTGGGCAGAGGGAGGACCACGCTTCTGCGGCCCCAGGGGTTCCTGAGAGGCACAGAAGAAGGGTTCTGATGGCACCCACATCACCAGAGATCAGGCCATGGAAAAGGATGAAATTAAGGATTAAAGACTTGTTGGGGACCCGTGCAGCATGGGGCAGGGGTACACACACTTCAGAGCAATGACTTGCCAGCGGGACTGTGGCAGAAGATGTAGTCAAGTTTCCTAAGGGAGCTCAATTTGTTGCTGATAGGACTTGCAGGGCATCTGCTTTTCAAGTCTACACAGTGTTAACGTGACCAGAGGAAGAGAACAGTACCTCACCACTGCCAAGAGGCTGCTCAGGTGAACGGGTGTGACTCCCCTCTTCCTACCGTCAGCAGAGCTGGTGCGGAGGGGGCTGGCCACACACCTCCTTTTCTGCTCCCACATTTAGCAGGCACTGTGTGTGTGTGTGTGGGGGGGGGAACTTGGAAGGAAATGACTGATACTTTAAGATTGGATTTTTTTAACAATGCAAAGTGACTTAAAAGTTACAGGATTACACTAAGCACTAGATGAGAGCCCACTTCCCAGTGGGAAACTGCACCTGACAGAACGTGGTTGACCATTACTAGAAAAGTAGGACCACTGCATATTTATATCTCCCTAAGTGGACTCTCCCTAAATGTGTCTCTTACGCATTTAAGAGGTTGAAAACAGTGTGCCCCCTGTTGGAGGTACGGGGGACAGCAGACCGGGAGAACAGAAAGCAGAAGAGGAGCTTGGTCCCTACCTTGAAAGCAAAGTTAGAGGATCCACTAAAAAACCTCCAGCCTGGTGAATTCTCAGACTCTAACCAATCAAGATCAGCTTCTCTGGTGCAGACGAGCTGGTGAGGGGTGTAAAGAGGCAGTGCTATCACTGCTGTGGGAAGGGGTGCAGCACGGTTCCCAGCACTTCTGTGCTCTCCTAGCCTGACGCCCCACTGCTGGCTGCATGCTTTTCCAAGTGGCAGTCCGTGCTGCAGGGCATTCTCGGTTTGTCTAGTGTTCTTGATGTTTCTGAAAGCCAAGTGGTGAAAATCAACACTATCTAATCACATGATCACTCCCTCCCCTTTCCTCACGTGAGCCGCACTGAAGGGGATCTTCAATGCACTGAGAATCTACCAACTCCTTTGAAAACCTCATGAAAACCTTTTATCAGCCCCTAGAAAATCAGACAGATACACAATTTTGTTTTTGATTTCAGGGCTTACAGCCTTCTTTTTCAAAAATTACACAGAACTGATTAGATGGAATAGTTTTATTTAGCAACAAAAACCCTGCTAATCCAGAGTATCTTGTAGTCCATGTACTGTACTTTAGACTACAATTGGCAAGTCTCAAGCGCAAGAGTTCGTTAGGGCCTGGATGTTGCACAAAAACACAAGATCCAGAGGGAGAACTACAGTATCCAATTGAAAAGGAAATACTAGTGAATGAGCCAGAATAAAAGATTTTATTGTATTCCATACATTCACAGGTCACGTCCAGATTTAGTAAGAACACTGCAGTGCTATGACGCTGTGTGCTCCTTTAGCTTAGACCACAAGGTGGGTCTGTACCTCTCCTGCTCTCTGCATCTACGGATGTACACAGTACCATTCCTAACTGTGGCCTGCCAACAAACGGTTATTTCATTTGATTATTTTCTGATGGGGGCATAGTTTCAGCCATGTCCTCAGAATTTTGAAGTATTTTCCATTACATCAGGAAAGACACTCCAGGGCCCCTTCATGTACTACTTTTATCTATCAGGAGAAGTGGACCCTCACTTAGCCAATTTCTATACAGACCAGCTGAGCATGGCATGATCCTGAAACCACAGCTTTTGTTTCTTTGGCCAGAATGCGCCCCTCACCTTGAGCACCTGTCTCAGAAATGCAGGTACTTCGTTCTCACAGGGTGTGCATGATTGACACAAGCTCCTGCCCCATGGTAAAAAGCTCTTCAAAACCTGGGCACGCCCTGTGGGAAGCAGGGACACAATTTATTGTGAGTGGCCTGCCCCAGCCTCAGGAGATAAGCAAAGCCAGACTCCATGGCCCCTGGGCTCAGGGCACTTGATCCACACTCGTCAGAGCCCTGCCTGTTAGGCTACAGATCCTCACTTGATTCTCTGAAGCTCAGGGAGGCTGACACACTTGAGCCTTCACTGAAATGATTAAGTGAAACATTGTTTTCACTCTATCAGGCACTGAAAAGCAAGAAGCTTTTTTTTTCTTTTTAATAATGAAATGCATTTTCTTTACTCTTGGTATCTGTAATATGCCTGCAATTAGAAGTAGCAGTTAACACAAAACAAAGAAAAAGAGAGCAGAAGGCACAGACTAAGGAGCGGGTATGAGAAAAATTTTACCATTTACTCTTACGGGAACACTAAACAAGACCAAACACATTTCAAAGCCCATTTTGTATACAAGTCTGCCTCCTCTGTGCAATAGAAAGTCTGTCCTAGAAAGCAGAGACCTTAATAACCCTTATACCCCAGATAAGCAGGTGTGTATCAGAACCAAACGCTATCCTCGCACACCAGAACATCTAAGTGGTCTGGAGACAGTTCATCATAAATGCTTCACATTTTCTTCGCAGAACACCAACAATCCTACCAATGCAAACTCCGAACGTTACTTTAATCAAATTCAGCTGAATGCTACACACTTTACATAGAATAAAAAGTAGCCAGAAAAATACCTTAGAAAAGAGTTTTTTCCCTTGTAGATTCCAAGAGGCAGTAAGGAATTCTCAACAATTGCATATATCCAAACTGAAGAGCCAACTCTTACTAACACTATTTTTAAATTTTATCTTTCTTAAAAGGAAAACAGGGTAAAAATCTGATTTTGAAATATTGACAAGATCCCCCAAAGTTAGGTATTCACATCTTTTCATCTCGCTTATGAGAATTTACTGTAAATATATCTTTAGCATAGAAATGAGATAATTATTCAATATACATGTTACAAATGTTATATTTAAAGATGACAAATCTATTCTTTACGCAGATTCTTCATCCACAAGTTTAATGACTAAAATAACACAACAGAATGAACAAATGTTTTATTGGCATGTTCATTGTTGTAAACAGCATCTGGCATGAAAAAGTTTGTTTTACCAAAACCTTTTTATTGATTTTTATAAATTAGATGGTATTTCAAAATTTATGTAGACTTGTGTTCATTGAGTACTTTTATTTAGCAAAGCAAACACTTCCTGATTCTAATAGACTCTGCAGTGAAATCATGTTGACGGGCATCAGTCTGTACCAGGACCTGACCTTACTGGCAAGTGTATTCAATAAGATGTTAAGACGTTTCCCCAAAGGTAAACTACATGTAACTACGAATTGACTTTAAAAATTAAAAACTGGACTTACAAGCATTCTAGAAGATTCAAACTTGAAGTAAACCTTCAAAAATAAATGTACAAAGAGCAAAAAAACTGAAGCCACCGAACAGAAAAACCTCATTAACAAGAGCAAATACAATCCTATGGGACCCAGCACTGAGGAACCTCACTGAGGATTACATTTACATAGATTGTTACACTTCTCAATGTACACAAATGTACATAATGAATATGGGAAAGAATAACCACGGGAAGTAGTTGAACTCCAATTAGGATAACTCAACAGGATCCATTTTATTTACATGCTAAATAAACGAGTGGAACACATTCTCTACATCCGTAACTTACGTACAATCAGTTATAATTACAATCCTGCAGCAATCTGAGCTGCCACCTGCTGGAAGCGGTCTAAGGGAAACGTTTTGAAGAAGAATGGTCTTAATACTCTGCAATAAATGAAACAAAACAAAAACAAACTTCACAATTCTTTACTGGGTTACGGCTGGTTCTAAGAATTTCTTTCTTCAGCTCCTATTTTTGCTGCTTTCCAAGAGTCAACACACGTTGCATTTACTTCTGAATTGTCAATGAGGTAATGTGTGTATCAGTGAAATAAACAGAAAATTCATTCATTCATGGCCTTTGCACAGCTTTTATTATTAAGCTATGAGCATCCTGTTTGAAAGCTAGTTTTACTAGCGGCTATGTGCACATTTGTCCACAATAAAAGAAGTTTACTCATTCCCCTGTCCCCTTTTCTAATAGCAGGTTTTGCTTTTTTTTTTTTTTTTTTTTAATTTTTTTGCACGTCCCTTTTCACTTTACAGTACATTTGACTATAGTGCACAACATGATTCCAAGTCAAAACAGTGGCCCATTGGGCACTGAGCTTCTGATTGGTGAAGGGTTGTCCAATCAGTGCTGGTGTCACTGGGTTACCCCAACCATGTCCCGCCATAATGGCACTACCTGATAGTAGTGAACCATCTAATTAAACCCAAAACTCCCCCAGGGAAAATGCTACACTAGCAGAGTCAGTCTTGAGTCAGATCTTTATTTGGTGCTCCATCCAGATATATTTTTAGTGCTTTCTCTTTACGAGGTGAGTATGTTACACGATGTCCAGTCTTCTGGAGTCGACTACTTTCCTTTTTCATCAGTTCATTTCTTTGCTCATCTGTCAACTCCATTAATTCTTCTGTTTTATCCCTATATTTGAAATATTAGTGAAACATTAGACCAGTAGAGCCATCTGCCTCTATTAGTTTATGCTTGAATGCTATGATGTGTCTCAGCAAGATAATGCAATCTCATTGTCACTGGTGAAGTTATACAATCTCATAAACTAGAATGTCCTGTATTTCTAATGTGTTTATCACATTGCTCACTTGTAAAAAATGGCATAGGATAATTTCCATGTTACTAGTAGTGGTAATAATAGCTATTATGTGTCAAACATCTATTTATATCTGTGCTGGTTATTTTAAATGCAACAGCTCTAATTCTTATAAAATCCTACAACATAGACATCATTGTTGCCACTTTAGAGATGAGGAGCTAGGTAAATAACAAAGTTAGACTTGAACTCACATCTTTTAGGCTCCAATGACTATTTTTTTCCCTTTATATTTGTTCCGTCCAATACCAAAGCCACTAGCCACATGTGGCCAGTAAGGCACATGAAATATGCCTGGTCTCTATCGGGATGTGCTGAAATGTAATGCCCAATGTCTCTAAGACTTAATACAAGAAAAAGAATATAAAGTATCTCATAAGGGATTTTTTGCACATATGAAATGTTATAATAGTATTTTGGATGTACTCAATTTAAAAATGTTTAAATGAATTTCACCTGTTTCTTTTTACTGGTTTTGATGTTTCTACTGGAAAACTTTAGATTATAATGTGGGGCTCTCATTTTATTTCTACTGGTTAATGCTCCTTGACTGTGTAATAACCATAGTACATAGGTATTTATGTAAAATAAGATATTTATGCACACCAAAAATGTTTTACCACTAAAAGAAACAAAAATATTGTGAATGTTACCTATAAAATATGACTGCACCATCATCGCAGATATAAAGAGGCCAGACATTCAGTGTAGAAACTTTAGGATTCCAGTCTAAATCCTGATGAATATCAAGGACAGAAATATCACAGGGAAAAGTTCCTCGGCCCTAAGAAGAAGACGACCTGAATAAATCATGCTATGAACCACATTTCTCACATGCTCATACACAGATGCAAACACGCTCAGCCCTTTACCTTAGCAAATTCAATATCTTCTAAAGGAATCCCACTGATTTCACCAAGCTGTAAAAAAAAAAAAAGGCAATTTATTCAAGATTATTTAAAAAATAAATTAGCTTAGAAAAGTTACTTTAGCCCAGAAAAAGAAATAGCTTGATTTTAAAAATACATGTGTTTGATATAAAAAAAACTAGAAGAAAAATGGAATTCTGTTCTCTGGTCACTCTGCAAATACCATGTTCAAGAAATAACAATTAGTATATTCCTTCTAGACCTTTTCATATGCCTATGCAAACTATATTCACATCATTTCTAAAACACATACATTTTATTTATAAGATATCTCTGTATTATAATTTTATGTGTAGCCTATATAGAAGAACAGGACACAGAGTAACCTCATTCTCTTAACTAGCTGAACCCTGTATCATTTTATCTCCTACTGATGTACCCTGAGATTGTTTTCAATTTTCCCCAATTAAAATGCTATATATACCTCCATGAATATCCTTGATGCAGAACTGTACATTTGAAATGTTGACAAATAATGCTAAACTGAACTCTGAAAAGGTATCAATTACACCTTTATCAAAGGTGTATTAAGCTATGAACATCCAAGGTTTGCTTCTCTCAAACCATGACAACCGTACGTATGTTTTATTTTCTAAATCTTCACCAATTTAAGAAGTAAAAAATGTTTTTGGTTTTAATTTGTATTTCTTTTCCATGACTTGCCTATTCATGCTTTTTGCATATCTTAAAAATTAGATTGTTACTTTTTTTCTTAATAAGGTAGTAGCTCCTTATAAATTATGGACATCATGTTTAATCAGTGTTTCAAATGATTTCCTCCCAGTTTTTTGTGTTTTAGTTTTGTTTATAGTTTGGTTTTTTTGAGGCAGAATCTCACTCTGTTATCCTGGGTATGGTGCTGTGGCATCACAGCTCAGAGCAACCTCAAACTCCTGGGCTACAAAGCAATCCTCTTGCCTTAGCCTCCTAAGTAGCTAGGGCAACAGGCACCCACCATAACATTCAGCTAATTTTTCTATTTTTAGTAGAGATGGGGTCTTGCTCTTACTCAGATTGGTCTCGAACTCCTAAGCTCAAATAATCAACCTACCTCGGCCTCCCAGAGTGCAGGATTACAGGTGTAAACTACTGCACTACTGCACCAGGCCTGTGGGTTGTTTCATAAATACTTTTTTTTGACTGCACAGAAGATTTCAGCTTTTATGTGGTCTACCTTTTCTCTTTGTTTGGCTGCTACTATTATGCTTACAAATATCTTTCTCCAGAATTCTGAAAACACTTTGTTTTTGAGACAGAGTCTCTCTATGTTGCCTTCAATAGTGCGCTGTGGTGTCATAGCTCACAGGAACCTCAAACTGTTGGGCTTAAGCAATTCTCTTGACTCAGCCTACCAAGTAGCTGGGACTACAGGCACCCGCCACAACGCCTGGCTAGTTTTGTTGTTGTTACAGATGTCATTGTTTAGCAGGCCCAGACTGGGTTCGAACCTGCCAGCACATGTGTATGTGGCCAGTGCCCTAACCGCTGAACCATGGGCACCGAGATCGAAAACATTTTTAATATTTATTAATTTTAAATATTTTCATCTAGTACATTTATAATTTTTATTTTATTTTTATATAAATTTAATACATTTAGAATTTATTTTTGTGTTAGGTGTAAAGTATGGAAATGAGTTTTTTAAAATGCCCATTGTGCTAGTATCAGTGATTGAGAAATTCACCCTTTCCCCAGAGATCTTTAGATTTCCTACCTTAAAATACAAAATGCAAAACAGACTTTCTTTTTTTTTTTTTTTTTTTTTT